TCAGCAAGTGTCCTTTCTCCATAGGGCTAGAGAGGTGGCTTAGCCACTAAGAGCACTGGCTGCTCTTCCAGAGGACCTGGGTTTGAGTCCCAGCACTCATATGGCAGCTCACAACTGTGTGTAACTCATTTCAGGGAGTCTGACACCCTTACAGATACACACGTGCAGGTAAAACAGCAATGCACATGAAACAAAAATAAATCCTTTTTTTAAAGGTCTCTTTTAATTTTTATTGTATTTTCCTGGGCATGGGGAAGCATATGTGCGGAGATTAAAAGGTTAACCAGTGGGAGTCAGTCCTCTCCAACCGACCATGTGAATCCCAGGGATTGTGAGGCTTGGCATTGAAGACCTTTACCCACTGAGCCATCTCACCAGCCCTCCTTTTAATGTACTACTGTAGCCAAGTTTGAAGCGCTTGTGCACGGAGGCTCTTTTCCTGTGTGTAATCTGTAAGGTCTACCTTATGTAGTATTCAGTTTTCCCATGTTATCCAGAAATGTACCTTCTCTTTAAAACATGCTTCTGCCAGGCATGGCAGTAGTACATGGCAGCAATCTATCTTATCACTGAAGAGCTTGGATGTAGCAAGAGGATGCAATCTGAGGCCAGCTGGACTACAGAGTCCAACAGTCTGGAACAAAAACGTACTGTCCACCAGTGCGGGATGGCCGTCCTAACAGTTCGGCTTTCCGAAGATGCATGACACGATTATGGCTTGTATCTTGGTGCTTGCTAAAAGAATGGTTAGGTATTGCTGTCATAGTAAAGCTGTATCTCTTTACTCTTCCAGGTACTCATGTGAGAGTATAGCGCGAAAGCTTTTCCCCTCTGCCTACAACAAACTTTGTATTACCAAGTTCACTGTTAGAGTTAAATCTTCACTCGTCCCAATGGACTCAATATCCATAGGACATTGTGATAGGAACACAATACTATTAAAATTAAAGTGGTAATGATTCAACGAAATAATAAAGACTAAGGACACGGCACAGAGAAACAACAATCAGGTGTCTTATCATTTAACGTTTATTGATGGGATGGATAAATACAGATTGAGAAACATACTTGACAGCAAGGTATCAAACTGATAGCCAGACTATAAAATGTATACAACATCCTTCTTTAAAATTTTTTTTGAGTTTTTGAAGTTTTTTACAAAGAGCCCTTATGATAACGGTCACTCACATCCTGTCGTCATTCACCTAACAGCAGTAGAGATCCCAGGAGTAGCAGCACCCAGAACTGAGGTGCCCCGCGGAGAACAGAGGCAACAGCAGAACAATATGCTGAGCAGTACAAAAAATCAGACGAAACGAAGAAGAGAAACAACTCACCACAAAATTGTACCTGAGTGACAAAAACCGGTAAAGTGTAACTTTGCTTTTTCATTTTTTCTTTTTGCTCTTTGGTCTGATAAGAAAATGGACAGTTTTATGTGTGGAAAGTCAGGTAATACAGGTCAGTTTCCAGTTCAGATCCCTAAATATATCTACACGAGCCTGCTGCACTGTTTTCTTCGGGTTCACAGGCCAGACAGCCCTTCTGGCTTTACAAGTGATTTCAGTATGGTCATCAGCTAATCACCTCTCTGCACTGTCCACTAGCATTTCCAGATTACCTGATGGCAGACACACTTGCTCTGGCTTCAGTGAACATGCTGTTAAGCATCCCTCTCCACAGCTCACATGGCAACACAAAGCCCAGGAGTTTCTCCTCACACAAACAGGAATCCACACTCGAACAGCGCAGACACTGATCTTTATTAAACATTCTTTTCCCTCCTCTTTCCATTGCCAAGTTCATATTAAAAACTTTAGAAATACTAAAACGGAGAGCTCGCCCACTTGGAAAACAATTCTGAATTAGACCACTCCATCAACTAAGAGTACAGTACCATTAATCTTTCAAACTTACATCCACTGAGGGATGAGAAATAAATGACAGTGTGGTACAACAAGAGTGTTTCCTAAACCATCAAGGCCAAGACCCTTGGGGAGGTGTGCGAGTGGCTGAACACTCAGTGGGATGGTGGAGAGCTATTTCTCACTGCCTGGTGGCTTGCATAGACTGCTTCAATTCTCCCAAACTGGGAGAATAAAATAGGCATTCCAATCTCAAGATGTTTTAGTTTCTCCCTTTCCTAGCATGAGTATCAAAATAACTCACCAACAAAAGAAAAAAATCTTTAAAAAAATAAATCAGTTCCCAAAATAATGGAAACGCACATATTTAGATTCCAACCATACTAGGATAGATAGGACCCTCCAATTGCCTTTATCTAGAAGCAAGTGTGAAAGGTTATAAGGAATTAGGCTGCAAAGGCTTCAGGAAACCCAGCAGTGATCTTACCATGATTGTTTCAATACTCAAATCTACTGCTGTTTGCAATTGGAGATTTTTCAATTTTTCTATCACCACTGGTGAACCTAATAATATAGAAATATGTGGGATACACTAAACGAAAACACTAGAGTCATTTACAAGAAAGAAAAGATGCTGAGTCTCAGATACAAAAACACAATGATTCATGAATAAGAAAAGTAGACTAATACTTAGGTATTTTCTAAACCCAAAAGGTGTAACTGGATACTTCAGAAGCCACAGTGGCTTTAGGTTAATGATTCACCAGAGTTTAGCCAACAACACAGGTATATGATTAAAAGCCCTAAAGACAATCCACAGGTATTTATTTCTGCCAACACAAAAGTCAAACAATTTTAGGAATGAGATTTACAGAAGTTTAGGCTCCAAGCCTACTTACCACTGTCATTTATTCTTGACAGTTTAGAGAAAAAGTAAAAGACAAAAAGCCATGTTTACAAGGCTGATTTTAAATATACAAATACTACTTCTCACCCTTTGAAGGTATGAAGGTAGGAGAGACAGACATGGCTCAGAAGCCTTATTTATACAGAAATTGGACAATATGCATGCTAGCCAGCAGGTGTATCTGCTAACCCAAAAAAAATGTAGCAGTTCATGCAGAGCCCGTAAGGAAGGCCCAGGGCCTATGCACAGACCTAAAAGCAGATAGCTATAGACAGTACCAGAAGGAACTAATATAGCAAAGTCTCTAAACTAACCAAATTCACTGTTGATCTACATACAAAGACCAGACTACAGCACGGAGGAGCTCTTTAGGCTCTAGGAAGCAGTTTTTTTCTAGTCTACTACTGACAGTTCTGAGAAACTTAACTACAGTATTACTATGAAGAACTGCTATGAGAGCAAATAAGACAGCCTTTGTGGTAAGGGAGTGCATGTGATTAGAAAATATGTGACATTAATGAGAGTAATTAAAAGAACAGCCATTTTTCCCAAATCAAATCGCCAATTCCACACGCAGACACAGATGCAAACTAAATGACACATTCCCTTTTAGGAAGGTCAGGATGGAAAACAAAATCTCAACAAATACTAAGCCTAAATTTAGTAATCGTGATGACACATCTATCTTGCACACACAGGAAATACCAAGGAGAAATAAAATGTCACTTTAAAAGTTGCATACCAAGAAAAATCACTGGTTTATAGATCAGCAAGGAGCTCCTTTTTTGCACAGCAATGGCAGGCACTCCAGACAGTTCAAACATGCAGATTAAGAACCACAAAGTCACCCAAAGATAAATTCCTTCCTCTACAGACTTTCCTCTATTGCCAGTACATCAATAGTAACATAGTAACTGCCTCAGTGTTTTGCTTAGTCTTGTTCTTGGCAAGCAGCACCCATACAACTTCTGTTTCCCTATGACTTTTCAATGAAAAGAACCTGACTTCTCCCTAAAGACTACTTGGCATGACAGAAGCTTCATTAAAACGAGACTAATTCTTTTTATAGCACCATGTTTTCCATAGCAAACAAACAAAAAAAAAAAAAAAAAAAAAAAAACCACACACACACGTGTGTGTGCATATACATACATATGCATATGTATGTTTTTTTCACGTAATGAACCAAAGAATAGCGATGATCTGTGGCTAGGTAGCATTCTTAGTTTAGACAGCTTGGCTTAGAATTTTCATCTAGCCAGTATTTCTTCAAAGATTTCCTTCATCAAAACTATTCATTCCTTATATCTAGAATAATCAAGCCATAACAGGAGATTCCTGATCCACTTTTTTAAAAGGACTATTAAGAATCTCTGCCTAGAATCAAAAGCCACCCAAAAGAAACCATCTAAACACAACAGCGTCTGTTGGCTAGGCCTGCTCACTCATTACACCAATGCTGTTAAATTCAAACTCATCTTTGAAGTCATATAGGCTGCAAATGCAAGTATGCAGTTGTTTCCCATTAGATATACAGATAAAAAGCAAAGTCTTACATTCATAATGTAACTTAAATACAAAAGCTTCAGAACCCCAAATCCCAATTTCATTGTCTTTAGTATCATCAACTCCCTGGCTTCTCCCAAACCTATTATCACATATGGTCTGGTCTTTGTCAAACAGCAGGCAAAGCACACCCTTCCTCCCTTCAGAGACCTGGGTCTTCCCAAAGTCCAACCTGAAAAGGCCCAGTTCTGTAGGGCAGAAGCTGGCCTTGCTCTATAGCTTCTTCCTCAATCCCACCTCCATTCTGCATAGAAAACACAAAAAGGAGTTTAAAATGAAGTTTTCAAAATGGTGCTACAGAGTCAGGTCATTGGCTACACTTGTCCAAACTAAAACCTAGAAGGCTACTACTCAGTTACGACACAAACATGTGGTGCAGGATGGGGATGATTTACAATGTCAATACACGCCTCTGTGTTTTCAAGGCCGACTATGCTCTAGTAGAACGCTGAGATGTGAAAATGGTTAAGAGTGGGAGAAAAAAGATAACATGATTTTAAACACGCACGCACACGCGCACGCGCACACACACACACACACACACACACACACACACACGGTCTCAATACTTCAAGTGGCCTGAGCCTATCTCACTCTTGGCCAAAAGCCTCCCTCCCACCCTCCCTGCACACACTCCCACCCTCCAACCCCCACCCTCATCGGTCATTGCTGTGCTCCTCAAACACAGCAAATACCTTTCCCTTCCCGATTATATAAAAAAACTAAACAGATAACTTACTTTCTTTAAATTATTTTTAAAAGTCTCTTAAAGATTTGACGTTTAAATACTTCCTCTCTTCTGATATGTTAAACACCAAAAGACTCCACAACTGCTTAATTATACCCTCCACATTTCAGTTCCGGCAAGAAGAGGGAAGATAGCTACTCCAACCAACCTACTCAGGATGAGGAGAGGCCGAGAACAGAGAAAGTGTTCTTAATCCTTCACAGCTTCAACATTAATCTTACCTCTGACACCAGTACAAGCTATAATAAAATAGATGTATGAGGCAGCAGATATAATAACCGAGGCCCTCCACCACCCTCCCACCTGTCTCAATAGCAATTTATTCCTTAGTCCAAGGGTGACATATTTCATAAGGGATGTAATTTTCGTAGTCCAGTATCAGTAGTCAAAACAAAAAAACAGAAAGGTGTTTTTTGTTTTTTAAGTTTTTGCCTCTTTTTTTTTTCTTTTTTTTCCTTTTTTTTTTTTTTTTTTTTTTCACTTAGGAAGAGGTGGAAGAGGTGGAGGTGGTTCTGACGGGAGGGGTGGTGGTCGAGGTTTGTCCGTATTGCCAGATCTGGAGATGCTACCAGCTCTCGGATTCATATATTCACCGTAAGAATGGACAAATTCAAACGCAGTGGGCTGAGTGGGCTGAACACCTTGGGCACTGAGCAGGGAGTGGAGCATATTCACAGTATCTTGATAATCTATTGACTGAGTTGTATTGTGACCGTTAGCCCCAGGTGGGCCTTTATCCAGTTTCATATGAGGAACTCGAGTTTTACAGCCAGGCTGTGAGAAGGGCAGGCCACTTGTATCTGAGCTATGCCCAGGCAACTGGGTCATTGTAGGAAGAGGAGGAAAGGGAAAATTCAAGGAAGAAGATTTAGTACTCTTGGCAATCTTGGCTGGATGATCAAACACTGCAGCCCCCGGCTCCTCCGGGGGACCCCTTTTCCGAGCAGAGCTCGAAGAAGACAAAGTACTGGACAAGCTGTAGCTTTTGTGTGCTAAGGTGCTTGTCTGGCTGCTGTGTTTGGGATCACCTGGGCGCTTATTCACAGTCCCGACCGGCAGCTGTAAGTGAGAGTGCTTGTGTGGGTGGTGGTTGTGATGGTGGTGATGATTAGATGGGTGAGTCCTGTGCTTCTCTCTGTGCTCCCGGCTCTTGGCGACACTGTCGTCTACAGAATTGTGCTTATCACCTGCAGAATGCACTTTAATGCGCATTTTTATCTCCTCTGGTTTCGAAGAGGCTGCTTTATCTCCACTAGCCACTGGGAGTCTCATTTTCAGAGCTGATTTGTCAGCCTTTTCCAGAAAAGAACGTTCAGGGTTTTCTGAGCCCTCAATGGGCATTTTCAGAATAACTGAAGAATGGCTGTCATGAGACAGGAGGTTCTGGGCAGCATATGCGTATTGTGACTTCACATTGGCCTCCATATTCTCCAGCTGCCTCTTCTGAGCAGCCAGCTCTTCGGCGTGCTTTGCACGGTATTCCTTAAGTGAAACTTTAGCTGATGGCACGCTCTTGCTAGTCTGCTTCTGGGAAACAAATGCATTTGAACCATCATGTTGCAAGGAATGCTCACTAAGTGCCAAGTTCTCACTAGTCCGATGCCCCTGAGAAGACTCTGCTTTAAAAGGAGGCTGGGAAGACAGCCATCGCTCGCCTTGCAACATCTCCACACTCGTTAGACTGCTGGATGACTCTTCAGACACAGGAAGGGAAGGCACTGCACTTGTGGTAGACGTAGTTGACATGCTCATTAAGCCAGCTATAGTTGTGTCTGAAGAGCTCTGAGAAATCATATTGAGGATTGTCTGTTCTGACGTGTTTTCATCTGCTCCTCGGTCATCTGGTTTGGTTTTCATGGCAGCCTGGTATGCCTAGAATGAAGCAAATCCAAGCAACTTACTAAGTGCCAGTATGCTGAAACAACAACCAAGAAGAACTTTTTGAAGGCTTTTTGTTCCTTGTGTGTCCTGGAGATGAGGGTTTTGTTTTTGTTTAGAGACAGGGTCTATGTAGGCCCTGGTTGGTCTGGAACTCCCTACAGAAACCAGGCAAGTCTCAAACTCACAGATTATCTGTCTCTACTTCTACCTTAGACTAAAAGCATGCACCATCACACCAGAAAAAAGCAATTCTTAAATATGCATTGTAACTACTTATGACTATAGTTGTTAGCTTTTAACTAAATTCTAGATAATTTGGTGAGGTTTGATATGAAAACTAAAAAGAAGTACATGCTCGTTAAGTCCACTTCTAACCATAAGCAAACATTATCTACAATTCACTGGACTCAGGAAAATTAGTCTAGACTAGTAAGAAATGAGGGAAGTTTCCAGACATGGTGATCATGCTTGCAATCCCAGGACTTAAAAGGTAGAGGCAAAGGCAAGAGGACCAGGAGTCCAAGGCCAGCTTCTTTAACAGCAAAACTCAAGGCCAGCTGGAGCTACATACATGAGACCTTGTTTCAAAAGGTAAGGGGAAGACTTTATTCCTTTTTTTTTTTTTTGGGGGGGGGGGGGGGGGGGGGGGGGATGCTAGTGATTGAGTACAGAGCCTGCATGCAGAGTACTTATTCTTCCACTGAGCTGTACCCCAAGTTCATCTATCTGATGCTGTGGGAAAAGGAAATGACTCTATTATTCCTAAGACTAAAAATATCTGGATTACAACTCTAGACTGCAACCCATATAAAAAGAAAACCCTGACCAAAAAATTAATTAATTAATTAATGAAAGAAAGAAAGAAAAAAAGCTGGGCTGTGGTGGTGCACACCTTTAACCCCAACACTTGGGAGGCAGAGGCAGGCAGATCTCTGAGTTTGAGGCCAGCCTGGTCTACACAGCGAGTTCCAGGGCAGCCAGGGCTATACAGAGAGACCCTGTATTGAAAAACCAAAAAGGAAAAAGAGAAAAGGAAAACCCTGGACTAAAGAGATGGCTCAGCAGTTAAGAGAACTTGCTGCTCTTGCAGAGGACCTGGATTCAGTTCTGAGCACCGTTAGCAGCTCAGAAGCCACCTGTGACTCCAATTCCAGAGAATCTGACACCCTCTTCTGGCCTCCACAGGCACTGCAATCACATAATCGCAGGCCAACATTACTCCTCACCCCTGCCTACCAGGTCTCACTATATGCAGCCCCAGCTAGCCTGAAGTGCAGACATCTGCTTGTCTCTGTCTCCCAAGTGCTGGTATTAAAGGTGTACAGCACCATGCCCAACTGTAATGATAAATCTTTTTAAAAGGAAGAAAGGAAGGGAGGGATGGAAGAAGAAAAACAGAGAAGGAAACATTTTTTTAAGTAGCTAATATCAAAGACAAAAAACTACACACAACCCTTCTAATTCCATACATACCTTGCCCCTCCACTAGAAGTCAATGCTATAGAGAAAACGCACAATCAGAGGCGGGATGACAGCCCAGCGAGTAAAGGGCTTGCCTTGCAAGCTTAAGGAGCTGAGCTCAGGTCCTCAGAACACCTGTGAAAGCCCAGGGCAGCGGCATTTACCTGTGGCTCCAGAGTGAGGTGGGTAGAGGGAGGAGGCAGACAGACACGCACGGGCTAGTCTGGCTTCCTCCCAGGGGAAATCCCCAAGATACTCGAACTCTATGGCTTCCCTGCTCCGCTGCTCTCTCCTCCTGATGTCTCTTTGACCTCTCCCATGGCTGAATCCCTTCTTCCTCCTCTCACTCTTCTTACCCTGGCTGGCAGAAAGTCCAGCCCTATTCTTTCGCCTGCTGGCGATTGACTGTAAGCTGCTTTACTGACATATCAAAAGACATTTAGAAAGCAGTGTTTCTACAATACTGAGACAGGAGATACTCAGAAAAAGCACTGCAACCTGATATGGTGGATGGGGGGTGTACAGAATCAGCATTTGAGTTACATAATAACCTTATGCCTACAACCTCTGGCTTCCATATGTATGCTCACAGCCATGTACTCCTACATGTGAATGCATATGTGCAAACCAACGAAATAAATAAAACACTCAACCAACGCCACTGACCAAGAATCACACAAAAAGCACTACAAAACACAAAGCAGTCTTCTGTCTCCACAGACTGAAATCTTAGCTCGTATCCATGCTATAAAGTCACGATTACTGTTAAGTAAGAAAAGGGAAATTCTAAACCTACAGCACACATCCAATTCTGGTGTAATGACTGACTGGTGCAGTTAAAAGAAAGAATAGTTTGTCTAATTCTTACCCTCCAATTCCGAATGCGTTTCAACCTGCTGGGAGTTTTCTCCAGAATCTGTAGGAATTCATGTGTCAGTTCTACAAATGAAACATTCACAAAATGTTGAGAGACAAGAAGGTAATGAGCCAACAACAACCTCAACTAACTCACTGTTGTTAAGTCACGTTTGGCCAGATATGTGACCAATCAGAAGTGCGTTTCAAGGTCCCTTGCGCTAAAACTTACCATCTAAAAGTTCCAAGGTCACGGTGGCGTCAACATACTCCCACCAGTGCTTCCCGTCAGTTGAGACTGGGATCTCCCAGTTGGACCACTTGCAAGCCAGATGGATGCAGACACAGGCCACCACAGGAGGTGTGTACTGCAGGCTAAATGTGGTCAAATGCAGGCTGACGTCAAAGGGAAGGAAACAGAGAGTATCATGAGCCCTCAGTTCTCAACCCTAAATTAAAACTCTCCATTATTTAAAAAAAACAAAAACAAAAACAAAAAGCACAGGAGAGTGAGAAGGGCAAGAAATATGTGCTCTGATTCGGCATTCAGTATGGTTTTTCTTCTTTCCTTTTAAAGATTTACTTCCAACTATGTGTACATGTCTATGTGGAAGCAAACGCACTTGTGTGAAGGAGTTCAGGTAGCAGAGCTGTCAGACCTCCCAGAGCTGGAGTTACAGAGGTGCTGCGCCAGCCCACAATGCATGCAAGGAACTGAACGCAGGAAGACTATATGAGCTGCCATTAACCTCTGACTCCTCTCTAGCACCTCAGGATGATTTTCTATTAAAATACTGCTCAGGTTATTATTCTAAATTTCCTATGATCACATAATCTATACATTGACTTGTGACCAGAAAACAAAAACGAAAAAAATAAAGGAAAAAGAAGCAGGCAGCCAACCATGGTGAGGCCTGCCTTTAATCCCAGCAACTGGGAGACACAGGTTGGCAGATCTGTGAGTTTGAGGCTGTCCTGTTCTTCACAGCAAATTCGAAGACTGCCAGAGTTATTTAGTGAGACATTGTCTCAAACCAAAACCAAACAAACAAAAGAGCCAACACAGCAGCAGATAGACCCTGTTTCAAAAAAAAAAAAAAAAAAAAATAGAAAAAGAAAAAAAAAATGAAAATGGATCTCTCAAGTACAAACATAGCTGATTGGTTTTTACAAGATTTTGTTTGTTTTTTCAGACAGGTCTCATTCTTTTGCTGGCCTCAAACTCACAGCAACCCTACCTCCCAATTACCATAATGCCTGACTCTTCAAAAATTGTTCACTTCTCCTCCTCCTGTGTGTGTGTGTGTGTGTGTGTGTGTGTGTGTGTGTGTGTGTGTGGCTGCCCGACTGCCTGTGTTTGTAAGGCGAGGTCTCACATAGTACAGAATGGCATGAACTTGCTATCTTCCAGAGGATGACCTCAAACTAATTCTCCTGCCTCTGCATCCTGAGTGCTGGGATCACAGCAGTGGGCCACCACTTTGTATGCAAAGCTGGGAATTAAACTCAGGAGCTGGGCATGCTGGGAAAGTGCTATAGAAACTGAGTTACACTCCAGCCTCTTCGTCAGCTAACTAAAACTGAACTTCTTGCATTGATGACTGAAAGAGTTTCAGTTTCTTTACACAAACAATATGGGAATCAGACATGAGAACAAGCAAGTCACTTAGCAGAACAAGTTATGTGTTGATAATTTAAAATATATATATTGCAAATCCTTATAGACTAAGTGCCCATTACTTGGACAAAGAAGAAAATCAACAACCCCAAAAATTACATGAATTTTCAGAATTACCCTCTGGACATTTTATAGAAAAGTTAACAAAGAATTAGATATGCTAAATAAATATAAAACCCTAGCAAATTAAAAGGTATAAAGTAAATGCACGGGACAAAGAGTGTGCAGAAAAATAATCATTTGCTAGAGCATGGTCTACAGTACATTACATTAAAGATCATTTCATGATCTTCTGGCTCTAGTTCACTGAGTGATCCCAAAAACCCCTCAAAAGGTGACCTCAGCCCAACCAAATTCCAAACCCAAAAACAGAAGAGAAAAAAAATTAAAATATAAACCTGTTTGTTGCCATGAAGTAAGATGTCTGTGCTAAATCCTTGCTTGCTAACAAAAATAAAGAAAAAGAAGTCATTAGTTCCATTCTTTCTCAACAAATACTTAGCAAACATGTATTATTTATAAGATAACTGCAGATAGTGATAAATTGGGCAGAAATAATGCCTGGTTGTCTTGTGTTAACATCCTCAGGGTGAAGTGAGATGTGGGCATTGAATACAGAACTTTTCAGACTAAACACATGTTCCACTACTGATTGCTAATCTTTTTTGTTTGTTTTTTCCCCCAAGACAGGGTTTCTCTGTGTAGACCTGGCTGGCCTGGACTCACTTTGTAGACCAGGCTGGCCTCAAACTCACAGAGATATGCCTGCTTCTGCCTCCCCGAGTGCTGGGTTTTATAGGTGTCTGATTTTTAATCTTAATAGTTAAGATAGCTGCTTCCAGATTTAGGAACTCAAGCCTTATCCTGAATGCCAGTTATTGGGGGTACTTGTTTAAAATGTAATTCCTTGAGTCAATGTTTAAGGAAGGACAGAGATTCTGATTCAACAGATTACTGAGAAACAGGAAGCTAAGAGACGAACCAATGGGACCGGGCCTCAAAATCAGAATCCAGAAGGCCTTGATATATTTGGAGAAAGGAACTTTCATTATAAAAAAGAACAAATTTCAACTGAGGAGACTGTGATTAATCCCTTAAACATCAAATAACACCTGTTTCACACACTACAATGAAAAATAAAACATTCCATATTCTCTCCAAAAAACACAATCAAACAAGATAGCCAATTTATAACTCTAGAACTTAAGTTGTCTTTTCTATATAAGCATATATCCATTTCTCTTCAGCCCTAGTCTTGCTAATGCAAACCCTTTAATACTTTTACTCACAAAACTTGGGCAACTGAGATGTGATAGACTTCTCGCCACCAGCACTGACAACCTGAGTTCAATCACCAAGATTGTAGAAGAGAACCTATTTCCAAAATGTTATCCTCTGGCCTTCTCCACATATGCCAAGTGGCACATGAAAAATCACCCCACATACCCCTCCCCACACATAGTAAATGAGTTTATTTGAGGAAACTGGGAACTTTTTTGAAATTTCAACTTTCTTAAAACATTATTAAAGTAAAAATAAAGCTAGTTATCAACTCAGCATATAAAGCTATAAAAGGCATCCATATGCATATGATATCCAGACTTTTTTTTTTTTTAATTTCATTTCAGTTCTCAAAATAAAACCCAGGGCTAAACATGCATTAAACAAATGGTCTACCACTGAGCATTCACGATCCCACATACCCCTGCATTTGCTATTTGTGTTACTGGCTAGGTTGCACTGTGTAGCACAGGCTTACTTTGAAATCACAGGCTAACTTAGAATTTGCAATCATCTTTCAGCCTCAGCCTCCCAAGTACTGGGAATGTAGGTATGTGGCACCACAATTGGCACCCCAGAGATAACTGACACTATTTAAATAAAAGGAATCCTTACAGATTAGGGATGTAACTCAATGGTAGAGCACTTGCTCAACATATAAGGCCTTAGGTTTAACTTCTATATCAAAAAACAAAACATGTTTTTTACAAACATACCCAGGAAAGACAACCATACAAAAAAAAAAAAAAAAAAAAAAAAAAAACTAAATATAATTTTAAAATCCTACCCCATGGATTATCAGTAATAAAAGTAAATTCAAATGAATTCCATATCATCACTGGGGTCTCCTTTAATTAGACATGAACTAAAATAAGACCACTGCTTTAAAAATAAACTGTACTTATATACAAGTATACATATGAGATGGGCACAACATATATGGAAGTCAGAGGACAAATTTTAGACATCAGTTTTCTCCTCCCACTGTGGGATCCAGAGTTCAAACTCAGATCATCAGGCTTGAGAGGCAAGTGATTTTACCTACTGGGCCAAAACCAACCAACTTTCAAGATTTTTCTGAAAACAATGCCTTAGATACATGTGACTCACAGACTTGTCCAAATCTGCTCCTACACTTTGACAAGAATTAACTCTCTTAGCGTCTCTTCTTGTTGTTGGCTCACAGGCCCTCATGATGGGAAGCCACAGCAAGAGCAGCTGGCCACACTACATCCAGCAAGGAAGCAGAGGGACATGACTGCACGCCGCTGCTCTGCCTGCCCACTAAGAAGCCCCAGAGCCACGGCAGGAAATGGAGCCACCCACTACCACCAACCGAGGCTCTTCCCGCCTCAATTAGGATAATCAAAACACTCCTCCACTGGAAAACCCAGGGTCTGTCTCCCAAGCGATTCTGTCAAAATGACAATGGCAACCTCACTGTCTTGTTTGAAAAAAAAAAAAAAGAGCATCTAAAATAGTTCCCAATAGGTCAGAACCAAGTGGTTGACTCCAGCCAAGCAGGTCACTCAGTCCAAATCTGGGACCAAGCAGCTGTGCTGTGAGCCAAGCCCAGGCCCCAAACAACGAAGCAATTCACGCAGCTACTTACCCCGAACAAGCTGGGTGCACTTTACCACATGTGTATGTGGGTGATCAATTGTTAGTTCAAACCCTTTAAAAAAAAAAAAAAAAAAAAAAAAATTGGTTAAGATGCTAAAAATATTCATTTTATACCTCTTTTATCTGAATTGTTAATGGCCTGTTTATTTTTCTCTCCCAAAAACACTGTGCAGAGACCGAGAGACTCAAACTATTCATCACATTCTTCTCTAAGATTACTATCTCGAAGAGCTATCAAGGGCACTAGTAAGACCCAAAGACCACTTAAGAAGCAAAATCTCTAAATGCAGTCTTTTCGGATGGCTAGAGAGATGGCTCCATGGGTTATAGCATGTGTTGCGGAGGGCTGAGTTTAACTCCCAGCACCGACATGGTGGTTCACTATAATTCTAATTCACTTTCTTCTGACCTCTGTGGGCACCAAGCACACACATGGTACACAGACATACATGCAGACAAAACACTTATACACACAAAATAATGTTTTAATCCTTTCTATCTATCTATCTATCTATTCATTCATTCATTCATTCATTCATTCATTCATTTGGGGGGGGTGGGCAGGGTTTCTCTCTGTAGCCTTGGCTGTCCTGGACCAGACCAGGCTGGCCTCGAACTCAGAGCTCCACCTGCCTCTGCCTCCCTGAGTGTTGGGATTATAGGTACATGCTACCTCAACCAGCTTGTTTTAATCCTTTTTAAACAAAAGGATATAGCATAAGGTTGAAAGAAGCAGTCACACAGATAATGACGCCTTCTAAAGCTTAATCGTTTTCACTTGGGGAAGAAAAGATTAGGAAGAGATGGTACCATGTAGCCCAGGCTAGCCTCAAACTGAATTTCTGATTCTCCTTCCTCCAGCTCCTGCTCTCCAAATGTACCATACCCAATCTGTGAGGAGCTGAGGACCTAGATATCAAACCTAAGGTTTACAAATGCTAAGCATTCTATTAACTGAGCTATCCTCATCCCTTACAGCTTAACCTTGAAAAGAAAAAGGGTAACAGGACCTTACTCTACAGCTGAGGCTGGCTGCAGCTCTTGGCAATCCTTCTGCCTATGCCAGCAAAAAGCTAGATCAGAGATCTTAGAATTCACTCCTCTCACCTCACCTTGTTCCTTTCATCAGCTCCATTATGATGTGTACTGGTTGTGTGATCCAATTTCAAAAGGTCATTACAGAATATATTGGAAAAAATAAAATCCCGACTAATGGCTGCTTCAAGGATCACCGTGTGCCTAACGCCATGAAACAAGCCGGGGTTAAACTACTATCACAACAAACGCTCCTGATTCTTTCAGAAGATTTTAACATGAAATCACTATATCCTATACCTAATTTTTCATGCTCTTAAGGAAAATTAACTTACCTAAGGTCTGCAAAATTATGCTCTCTAAAATCACCAGATCTTGAACTTGTTGTAGGTAGGCCTAAGGGAGAGAAAACAGAAGTTACATCCCACAAAAGAGTGAACAATTATAAAAAACAGAACAATGAATGGTGCGAACCGAAGCCCCTGAGAGAGGGCTCTGCAGTTAACAGCACTGGCTGCTCTTGCAGAGGACCTAGGCTTGGTTCCCAGCACCCACATGGCAGCTCACAGCCACCTGTAACCCCAGTTCCACAAAATGCAACAAACACCCTCTTCTGGCCCTCATAGTCACTATATACATGCGGTGCACTTACATGTAGGAAAACACTCACACACATAAAATTTCTAAAACCTCAAAAGTAGCCAGGAGTGCACACACCTGTAATCCCACTCAGAGACAAAGGCAATCGTATCTCTGTAAGTTCCAGGCCAGCCTGGTCTACAAAGCAAGTCCAGGACAGCCAAGGCTACAGAGAAACCCTGTCTCAAAACAAAACAAAGCAAAACAAAACAAAAAATTAAAAGAGGGGTGGTATGGAAGATAAGAGGTAGAGTTGGAACTGGAAAATAATCTTTATCTCTATCCCATTCGGGACAGAGAGCCCGGAACAAAGAGCCACGAAACAGCACAATCTTATTTATTTTCAGACTGATACTTTAAATCTTAGAGGTCAGATGATTCAGACATGAGAAATTAATGATACATCTTTAAAAAAAAAATCCTATGTTATTTGCAGACCTTTTAGCAGCACTGTAAGCATCTAACTGGTAAATATTTGACACACATTAAATCTCTCTTTTGAGCTGACACTAGCTCTCTAAAAATAAGTACAAGAAGAGTTCAAAGGAGCTAGTCATGGTGGTGCACACCTTTAGTGCTGCACTTGGGAGGCGGGCAAGTGAGGCGGACATCTGTGTGTCTACGGCCAGCCTGCACAGACAGGGTCCATGCCAGCCAGGGCTATACAGTGAGACCCTGTCTCAAAGAGCAAAAAACAACAACAACAAACAAAACACCCTCTTAAAAAACAGAAACAACACCACCAGAAAACAAAGGTAGGGGCATAAATTTTTAAAATGTTTTCTCAAAGCCAGCCCAAATAGGCAAATTCTTAGTCTCAGCACTCAGAAGGCAGAGGCAGGTGGGGATCTCTGAGTTCAAGCACAGCCAGGGCTATGTAGAAAGACGCTGTTTCCGAACAAAAGTTCTCTCAGATTTCTGCCAACTAAAACTACAGCCATTAGCCACATATGGCTGGCTGAAACAGTGCTAGTGAAAATTAAAACATAATTGTGAAATGAAAGCTAAATTTAACATTTTTACATTTGTTAATGGTACATGGGAAAAAACACATGCACACTTCAGCCTGTATGTGCAGGTTAGAGGACAACTTGTAGGAGTCGGTTCTCTCTCCACGTGGGTCCAGGTATCAATCTGGTTGTCAGCCTTAGCAGCAAGTACCCTGCCCAGTGAGCCAGCTTGCTAGCCGTACACTGAGCTTTAAAGAGTTAATTAAATCAAGGCCAGGACCTCACATAGCTAGTGAAGTGCTCTACCACTAAAGAAGACCTCATTTTAAGGATTCTAATAAAGTTTAATAAAATAATTTTTTTTTTCAAATTTTACAAATATGGCTCTTATATTTCTGTTGGAAAGAACTGATCTTTAAGAAGATGAAATGTGGGTAAGGCATCAAGAGACCATACTGGGCTCTAGAGATGGCTCAGCAGTTAAAAACACTACCTGTTTTCCCAGAAGACCCAGATTCAACTTCCCAGCACCACATGGTAGCTCACAGCTGTCTGGAATTCGGGTCTGGGAATCTGAGTCACACACCTATGCGCACACACAGGATGAAAGCCTGCTGGGCAGGGGTGGCACACTCCTCTACTCCTGGCGCTCTGGAGGCGAGGCAGGCAGACCACTACTGAGTTTGAGGACAGCCCAGTCTATACAATGAGCTGTTTGCTCAGGGGTTTCATCAGTGATAAAAGGTAGCTACCAGGGCTTGCTTCAGTAGTACACACACTCAAATTGGATACAGAAAATTTCTAAAAATGAAAGAAAAATACACACACAAATCCATACACCTTTTTCATAATGCATGATTCACACACCCAGAAGAGACTTAAATAACTTAAATTTCTGGTAACAGAAATCTACAATTTCCCCTCAATTATAAGTGTTAGAATTCTCAGCATTTCCAATCACTGACCCTTCTGTTTGTTTGTTTGTTTGTTTGTTTGTTTTGAGACAGGGTTTCTCTATATAACTCCCCTGGCTGTCCTGGAGCTCACTCTGTAGACCAGACTGGCCTAGAACTCAGAGATCTGCCTGCCTCTGCCTCCCAAGCGCTGGGATTAAAGGCGTGCGCCACCACGAGAGATGGCTCAGTAGTTAAGAGCACATGTTGCTCTTGCAGAAGATCAGAGTTCAACTCCAACACTCACACTGGTCAGCTCACTACCTATACCTTCAGCTTCAGGGGGATCCAAGCAAGACCTCTGGCCTCCAAGGACACTTACATTCGCATATATACATATTTAATGAAATACATAATACATCATTTTTTTAAAAAACAATAAAGAAAACCAGAAGTGTCACCCTTCTTTACAAAAGCCAAAGACTGTGAGTGTGGCTTTTCTTTTTTTCTTTTTTTAAAGACACAGGCTCTCACCATGCAGCCCTGGCTGCTCTAAGACTCACTATATATAGACCAGGTTGGTCTCAGAGATCCACCTGCCTCTGCTTCCTGAGTGAAAAGATTAAAGGTATACACAACCACATCCATCTTGGGGGAGTGACTTTGCAATAGAATGTGTGCCTAGAATTTTCTGAGGTCTTAGATTCAATACCTAACATCACCAAAACACACACCAAGGAATCATGGAAGAAGAAAACAAAAGAAATGCATATACACACAGGACAATAAAGTATCTATAAATACTATATTCAACAGTATTCTCACAGGAAAGAAGATGAACTTTAATCTGAAATGATTTTTAATAAGAGTTTGAACCCTGTCTCGAAAAAATATATAAATAATTTGAACTCTTTAACAATTACCATAACACTTCTTGGTCTTTTTGCTAGAGTCAAATGTAATAATAAATACATAAATTTTGTTATCTCTAGGCATGTGCTCCTTTTCAAATGATAAAGTTAAGTCAGGCAGTGACCCTTTCTCAGACTTAAAAAAATCCCCACAAAACTTTACCTTTAAGAATGCTTATAGCAAGCAGGGTGTGGTCACGTACGCCTTTAGTCCTAGCACTCAGGAGACAGAGGCAGTCAGGATCTCGAGGTCAAAGCCAGCCTGGTATGGGTGAGTTCCAGGACATCCAATTAAAAAAAAAACCATAAAAGAGAAAAGAAGGGGAGGGGAGGAGAGGAGAGGGAAAGGAAAGGAAAAAAAAAAAAAAAGAAAGGAAGACACAAACAACGCCAATAAAAAGTTGGAAACAGTCAGATGGTGATGGTAAACATTTTTAATCCCAACACTCAGGGAGCGGAAGGCAGGCGAATCCCTGTGAGTTCAAGGATGGCCTGGTCTTCAGAATGAATGTTAGGACAGACAAGGCTACACAGAGGGGAAAAAAGTAAACACTGAAAAGTGTAATAGTCCCAGGTTCAAAGTTCCGAAATGAAGTTATGATTTTAAAGGTGTGAACAATCACCCACCTCACTCCTCGTGTCAGGAAGTGACTCCTGCGGATGCAGGCAAGTATGTGCTACTTTGATGACATGTTCCAACTTTTTTGGCTGTTCTTCCACTTTCGCTGCTAGAAACAAGGCTGCTGGAGCCATAGACTTCATAGGGAAAAAAGAAATCACATTTGTTATTTATTTCTAAATGATAACTGACCTAAGAGGAGCTAAATCTCAAACCAAATCTCCGCCATAATCTCACAACTCTTATTTATATCACATCGTAACAGCAACCCTCAGCAAACCCTCAGGTACGCGTGGAAGAAGGCTGCTGATGTTAGCTGCTTTCCACTGAAAAGTTTATCACTCACGTTTACCATTTGCTGTAGGTTGGTTTTTTTTCCCCCTTGAGACAGGGTTTCTCTGTGTAGCCTTGGCTGTCCTGGACTCCCTTTGTAGACCTCTGGCCTGGAGCTCACAGATCCACTTGCCTCCGTCTCTCCAGGTGCTGTGATTGTAGGCGAGCGCCAGCGTGCCCAGCTTTGCTTCAGCGAGGCTCTGCTTTAGCGCTTCAGTTGAGGGTCTGTGTAGCCCAGGCTGGTTTGGCACCCACTATTGCACTACTTATACAGCCCATGGTAGCCTCCCACGCTGAGCATTCAGCCTGTGATGTCTGACGATGAGTGTGAGCCACCATGCCAAGGCTCGCTCCTTTTTTACATGGTAAAATGGAATCCTTAGGAGGAGTAAATCCAGAGACAAAGTAGGCTATTGGCAGGGGATGCTGGGCCAGATCAGGGGCACTGCTAAAGAGAAAGAACTGATACAAGCACTGTTGAAAACAAGCACTGTTGATGGCGGCCTAATGTTTTGAACATGGAGGGGAAGAAGATGTCAATGAATTGTAGAATTAAAAAAAAAAAAATCAAGCTCAGCACATGACGGGGTGGCCTATGTTCGAAACTCCAGCACACATAACTGCAGCAGCACATCGGTAATATCAGGGTGAAGGGGTAAAACAGGTCGATCCTACGGGCTCAGTGGCCACCCAGTCTAGCCAAAATGGCAGGCTTCTGGTTCAGTGAGAGACCTCATTTTCAAAAATATATAAAGTAGAGAGCATAAAGACTTGAGCTCCACCTAACACAGGCAAGCACGCAAGCCCATACAGTACACACACTAGCATGCTTCTGTTGGATGTGGTAGACCACACCTGCAATCCCAGCACCCTGGAGACAGAAGCGTATCTCTCTGAGTTCAAGGCCAGCCTGGTCTACATGGTGAGTCTCAGATCAGCCACAGTACACAGTATGAGCCTGTCTAAAAGAATAAAATAAAATAAATTCATAAACCAATCTTTAAATAAAGATTACAGGTACTTGGAATGTGGCTCAGTTCCTAGAGTGTTTACCTTTCATTCACAAAGCCCTGGTTCCATGCTCAATGCCACATAAAAAGGGGGGGAGGAAAAAACAGAGATAGTGGTACACCCCTATAATCCCAGCACTGGAATGCAGAAGGAAGAAGATCTGTAAATTTACACAGTGAGTTCAAGGCGGGCCTAAGCTACACATATTTAACCGGGAGGTGGTGGTGCACTCAAGAGTAGAGGTGGAGTAGAGGTGGGTTCAAGGCCAGCCTGGTCTACAGAGTGAGTTCCAGGACAGCCAAGGACCCCCATCAGAAACCCTGTCTGGTAAGTGGTCTGGGGGAACGACAAGATAGAAAATAATTCAAGCCAATATACAAATAGATCTCAGAAACCAACCATAAAAAAAGACACAGCAACTGAAACATTGTAATACTTATTTGCAACACTATTGCCACCTAAGTCACAATTTCCTAGACTAAAGGCTGGCACGCTACAAAGATAACTGCATAACCTTCCTTGCCCTTCCACTATTCTCAAAAGCTAAATTGGAACCAGTCTAGTTGTCCATTAACAGATGATGAGCAAAAAAAGAAAGGCACTGGGAGTGTAGCTCAATCGGTAGTGCTTGCCCTAGGATTGATCCCAGGCAGCTCTAAGGCCTCCCATGTTCTCTAACGCTAGCTTCAAATTGGCAACCCTCTGCCTCAGTCTCCCCAATACCTAAGATTACAGGTACTTGCACCCAACTCTAAGAGGCATTTTATAAGTTTAAAGTACAAATTCTATTTAAAAAAAAAAAAAAATCAGATAATATTTACCAATTGCTTGCTTTGGGCAAAAACTCTGAAAATTAATTTAAATCCCACAAACAGATCAAAAATCTGAGGCACATAGTCACTCCCACAAGCCACACTGCTGGTGAGCAGAGCAGCAAGATTCCAAATGTAGACATGTCTGATCCCAGGATACATGTTTATAACCACTAAACTTATAAGTCAATAATGAGGGTAAAACATATCCAAATCTGTTGCTATTAAAATACGGATCTGTTTTCATTTGGTGTTATGGAATGAACCCAAAACCTCTAACATGCTAAATACACACTGTACCGAGTCACATATACAGCCCCAAGGATTCTTAAATGTATAAAAGACAACATAATTTTAAAAATATTTTTCAGGTATTTGTATGTGAGGACAGGGTTGTCCAAAGGGTCTTCATCAATCCCTCTCCATCTTTTCTCTTTTATTTTTTAAAATAATTTCTTTATATGCACTGCTTCACACATGTATGTCTGTGTGAAGGTGTGTTACAGACAGTTTTGAGCTGCCAGGTGGGTGCTGGGAATTGAACCCAGGTCCTCCGGAAGAGCATTCAGTGCTCCTAACCAGTTGCTGAGCCATCTCTTCAGCACCCATCTTTTCGTTTTTAAACAGGGTCTCCCACTGAACCTGGAACTCAAGAGCCCCACTAAGTGCTGGCTAGCAAGCCCAAGAGTCCTGTGTGCACCTCCCCAGTGCTGCAATCACACCTATGCACAACATGCCAAGATTTTTCAGAGAATTGTTTTTCTATTTTCATATGTGTACGTGCAACCGAATCTGAACCAGCACCTCACGGGCCCCACCCACCACAGCCAGATTTCTTCTGTGGAGTTTGAGGTCTAACTCAGGTCTCCATGCTTTACTAAATGACACACCTCCCAGCCCCTTGTGGCTCTGTTGGTCCATGACTAGGTCGGCTAGCCTCCAACTCTTTGGATCCTCCCGCCTTGGTCCTCAAGATCTGAAATTACAGGCGTGCACTACCATCCCTGTCTCCTTGCGGCCACCTAAATTATGAGAAACAGCATGAAGAGACTGTTCCGGAAAGTTGTACAATAGGCGTATGGTGAGACATGACCTTTTCAACAAAAACTGTAAGTACTAGTTCACATACCGAAAGAGGCCTGGGATACTGCCTGTCTGGTCAGGGATTGCTCTACAGGGAACAAAGGACCATTCTGTATTGTTAATTTTTACCACATGAATTCATTATATTTGTAATAAATAAATCAAAATGTGCAAGGCAGCTAGCAAGATGTCTCAGCAAAGTTCCTGACGTGCAAATGCTGGAACATGACAACCCAAGTTTGATCCCCAGAATCATGGCAAAAGGAGAGAACCTCCATATGTGCACCAAAGCCAAGTGTGAGCTGCACTCACATACAAACATCATGTACATTATATATGTACACACATACATACAAATCCACAAGGACTGGCTTGACAGGCTTAACATGGATGCCATGATGTTTTAAGCCCTCTCAAATCTAATTTTTAATTGATCACAACTAAATTCAACTTATAAAATTAATGTTATAAGAGGATAATATTTTTGATGTGCTAATTCCAGAATATACCTAAAAACCAACACCCTAGAAAAGACCAACTACTTTGCAATCAGGAGACAAAGACAGGTCAATCTCTGTGAGTTCCAGCCAGCTAGGGCTGCATAGTTGAGGCCCTGTCTCAAAACAAGAAACAAATAAAAACAAAGGATATGATATCCAAAAGAACACCTCTATAACGAAATAATTATCAGATCATTTACTCAACCAGCCTAGTGCAGGTGCTTTAAAGGTCTACCTTAACCAAGGTTGACACAAAGGCATAAGAAAACACCGTTTAACTAAGAGGGAAATACGTGCTAACACAAGAATGCAGACTAAACAACTAGGTTTAAGATTCTGCCCTGGATTTCAAATCTTTTCAATGTACTTACTTTATTTTATACACATTGAGGTTCGACTGCATGTATGCTATGTGAGGGTGCAAATCCCCTGGAACAAGAGCTACAGACAGTGGTGAGCTGCCACGTGGGGGCTGGGAATTGAACCTGGGTCCTCTGGAAGAGCAGTCAGTGTTCTTAACCGCTGAGTCATCTCTCCAGCCCCCTACATTTCAAATCTTTATTATAATAAAAAAGAAGGCTTGGCAGGTATTGTGCCTCCTGCTCATAATGCCAGTGCTTGAAAATTCAAGCCAGTCAGGACTAAATAATTCAAGCCAGCCATGACTACAGACTGAGACCCTAAAAAAAAAATAAAGACAGAAGAAAAGAAAAAGGATAAAAAGAAAAAAAGGGGAAGGCTGAGAGTAGACAGCTTCAAAATTACCAAGACAACGATGGAATTCCTCTTTAATTTCATTCTTCATTCCCTACTTCTGTTTCAGTGCTATCAGAGAGCCTCAATAAAGGCTAATTGGAAGTATGGAAGCTAACGGCAAGAAAGAATCAAACTGACTAAATCACCCAAAATGAGGAATACTTTATTATCAATAGATCCCTAGAGTTTCCTGCTCCTCCTAAATCTGACCCTGCCGATTTCTTACACTACAGGAATTATATTTAGCTTCATAAAGTTTCTTCTAAGTGTATCAAAACAAAACAACTCAAAATGTATTATCTGGACTGGAGATAGTTTCATTCCACGGATCCACCTAGGTGGCTCACAGCAGCTTGTAACTCCAGCTCCAGGGAAGCCCAATGCCCTCAGCTAGCCTCTGTGGGCACTTACACACTTACACCATTCATTAACACAAACACACACAAAAACAAAGCTAAATCATTTTAGGAAACATCCTAAATTTGAAACATGCTTCCTCAAAAACTTTAAAAAATAATAGGATATTTGACCCACAAGTCCACAATGATCTGTTCAAATTTATCCTTATTACCTTGGGATTTTTAATGAAGTACATACAGACTTACTGCAACTAAAATACCACTATGCATTCACCTCCAGATGACCAACTGTTAAAACAGACCATTTCAGGTAACAAGACTCAAAACAACATTTATATTTACAACTTTGCCCAAGAAAATAATAGCCTTCTATTCCTATTTTCCCCATTTTTAAAAGTCATTTCCCAGGCATTACCACATAATACATCTTTCCCTTCAGCTAACCACTGAATTTTATGAAAGGTTTTACAAAATCTAACATTTGTTTTCTATGGCCATAAAATTATTTACCACTTTGAAAGCTATACTTAAATCAGTTTTTTTTCTAAACTTAAAATGACCAGCCCTAAATTCTAAAATTTAAATCCTAGTTCAGAAACAACAACCAATCATAAAATAAGCAGCTAGACTCAAACCCAAAGAGACTACACACAATACTTACGTATCGATGAAACTGTGTAAATGACTGAATCATGTAGAATCGGTGCATATATACTATAGCAGTGTTGATGGTCAGTTGTGAGCTGAAGTGCTCAAGTTAAGGTTCAAAACAGACAATATAATCTCCTTTCCCAAAAAAACAAATGGCCAGGCACAGTAAGTGATCCCACATGAAACCAACACTTAACTCTTCAAATCAAACAGCAGACTTGTTTTCCTTCACTAACTAAATTATTAGCTGACAACTGACATGTCCTCTACCTAACATGTACTTAGTATGAATGCACTCACTGCACAAGTGGCAAGGTGGAAATCAATATGCAATATAAACAAAGCTACATACAATCTTATGCTTTTCTGTCATGTCACTTGCCTTCTGCAAAGATGATCCATTAGCTCAGGACAACTTTTTTTATTACATTTACTTTTGGGAGGAGGTGTGGGGTCAGAGGGCAAATTGCAGGAGTCAGTTATCTTTCCACCCTATGAGTCTCAGAGATGGAATTCAGAGTATCAGGCTTGGTGATAGTGCCCTTATCTGCTGGGACATCTTGCCTGCTCAAAGACACCTTCAGAAAGGTTTCTTTTTAAGTGTACCAGCACTTGCCGTGTGCATGTCTGGTGTCCCCAGAGGCCAGAAGAGGGCAGGAGATACCCAAGAACTAGAGTTTCGGATGGCTGTTGGCTGCCAGGTGGGTACTGAGAACAGAGGCCTGGTCGTTTGCATGAGCAATATGTGCTCTTGACTGCTCAGCCATCTCTCTAGCCCCACAATAACTTAGAATATCGACAAGGCCCTCCCTTACCAGCCCCTGGGAATCTATTATCTCTCCCACCTTCAGTAGTTCTCGAGCTCTACTTTCTTTTCTTTTTTGGGGAGGTAGGGTGGGGCATTTCAAGACAGGATTTTTCTACATATCTTTGGCTGTTCAGAAACTAGCTCTGTAGATCAGGCTGCCATCAAATTCAAAAATCTGCCTGCCTCCCAAGCATTGGGATTAAAGGCAAGTGAAGGAACAAGGGTGTGTGCCACCACACCCGGCTTTGATTAGTTCAAGAAATATCACATGACCTCTGACCTACAAAACCTTTGAAGTCTTTGATGGTCAACCACTGAAAGGAAACTCCTGCCATCCTCCAATCCAGTCTTTGATTTGTAGGTGTCTCCCTCCAAGTCCCAAGGAAAAATCGAATACCTTATTCCCACAGACCTCAGCAACAATCTGTATAAAGATGACAATATGACAACAATCTTTTAAACACACTTTTAAAAGGTGCCTTAAACATATATAGGAACTTAAGTTTAATTGTGCACTGACTGGATACTTGGGAAAATAAGCCTGATGTCAATAAGAAACAACTGGCAATAAAGAGATCACCTATTTCAAAGCAAAAGACAACCTTCAGACCTAAACATTATAGACCTAAACTCAGAATTTTTTTTATTTTTTTATTTTATTTTATTTATTTATTTTTTTTTTGAGACAGAGTCTTACCAGGTAGCTTTGGCCTGCCTTTACCTCCCCAGTGCTGGAATCAAAAAGGATTACAACACTGCCTACCCCTTAGCATCACTCTTAAATAAATGCTATATAAGGGGAAGCTGCAACCAGAGGATAAAAGAAAACATGGAAAATGGAAAGAACTTTAAAACGTTTAGTTTTGCCACAAAAGACTATATTTTTCTTAAGAAAAAAAAAAAAAAAAAAAAACGGGCGGGAGGAATCACTAAACTACATTACCTTTTTAATCTGAAAACTAATGAAGACTCACTATTGCCCTGAGAAGCAAGGACTTAATATTCTACAAACTGCTTAAAACATAGCAACACTTACACCTCCCTACAAACCAAAGCTGACATCTTTCCTCCCTCGTAAAATTCTATGAAACTGCTACTAGAACGTCTGAACACCTAGCGTTGTGGTGAACATCGGGAGAAAAAGAAATTTGACAGGTTAACCAACTAGTAAGCGAGAGAAAAACGGATTTGGAACCAAACCTGGGGCACTAATTCTAGACCACCTTCACAAGCCCTTCGGGTACAGAATTTCCCGAACTCCCCCCCCCCCTTCTTTTTAATACACTTTGGGAGGTAGCGTCGGCAGTGAAACCTCTTAAATGTTTCCTTCGCTTACAGAAGAAGGGAGACTCTCAAAAGCCACTAAAACAGGACGGAATTCAGTGGGCAGGGGCTGGGACGGAGCGGCGAAAGCACAAAGACGGGAAAGGTACGAATTCGCAGCCAGGCTGGTGGCACCGGTGAGCGAGCGGGAAATTGACTCCGCCTCACTTCCCTCGCGCGAACCACTGTTCGGCCAGCGCCATTGTGGGCTCTCCCCACTAGACGTCCAGCTCCTGCCAGCACCTTACCCACTCCTGTCCCCGCCGGCGTCCCCGGCCTGGACGCCGAAGCGTGGCCGGACGCGCTCCGAGGCCGAAGGCCTAGGCCGCAAGGATACACGTTAAGACGTTGTCCCATGTCCTGGAGTAGATTGGCCGCCTGCTGGCGGTAAGAGAGTTCTTTATCTGAGTCCACGCCAAAACGACGCGAGGGGCTATTCTCCAGCTGTTCTCGAGTGAAATACCACCGTTTGTTGTTATTCTTCCTCTCTCCCTCCATAGTGCTTCCACCAAAAGGCAGCGGCGGGGGCTGCAAGCACTTCCCAGCGTCACCTAAGCGGCGACACACATCCGCCGTGCCGAGACAACTGCGACGTGACGAACTTCCTCTAAGAGCCGACCACCGGGTTGTGACACACTTCCGCCCGGGAAGCCGAAGGTTCAAGAACCTACTTCCGCGATGACCCCTGCGACACCCCGTAGCCGAATCAACAGCCAGTCCACGACCAGGAAAGACTCTGCAGCCGGGACGCAGGCGCAGGTCATGTGACCCCGCGGTGGGCGGGGCCGCCTTAGACGTTGGTCTTTAAAAATCTCGTCTCTCCTCGCGAGAACTGCGTAGGTCGCCCTGCGGGTTTCCGTGCTCCCCTCGCTCTAGGCTGCGTTGGGCGTTTTTCGAGGACGTTCGTGATGGCGGTGCCTTTACTAGAACTGGGCTGACGGAGCCCGTGGCAGGGAAAATAGGCGAGACCGTCAGAAAACCGAGAAAAGACAAGACAGTGAGTGGCCCCGCCCTATGTCGAACCGTTAAAGCCGCGAAAAGGCTTCTGGGTTCTTAGCAGCAGTGTCAAGAACCGCAGCCGGTTTGAAAAGCAACTCTACTATTTGGGGCAGCCTTCCCTCCGTTTTGCTACCGATAACCAACTTGAAGAAATAAAGTTTGTTACTAATTTCATGCTTCCATGTCCAAAGGATACGACATGTTTTGCTGTTGTTTGTCTGGGTTTAGTTTTGTTTTGTTGGGGGGGGGGGTATTTCTCTTTCTTAAGCGGGCCTCACTGTAGCCTTGGCAGGCCTGAAACTCAGAAATGCGCCTGGTTTTGCCTGCGTGCTGGGATTAAAGGCGTGTGACACCACGCCAGGCTCAAGAACGTTACTGACTTTAATTTCATTTAGGTGATGAGGCCTTTTCTCTTGCTTTCCTCTTACCGGTGAAAGTGATATGCTTGCCGGCACAGATTCCAAATGACCAGCAGGTCCCAAGGGCATGCAAGTGTTAGTGTTGCCCAGGTCAATAATTCTAGGAAACCCTAACCGTAGGGAAAGATCACCAAGGAACAGAGATCAAGAGATACAATGTTTGCGCCCCACTCACTCCCAGGTCCTCTTTGTGTAAAAATCAAGCTGGGTCTGATGTCCCCTTCACTCTCCTGCCCACTCCATGGTGTCTCTATTCCCAGGCTTCTGTCACAGCGTTCAACTCAGTACTGGTGTTCACACAATCCCAGACCACAGATCTGTGAGTGGCCTCACTCTGTGTGCCCAGAGCCCACTGTACCCACCCCTGGCGTGGGAATTAGCAATCCCTCTTGAAGATCTGGTGCTCAGAATTTTACCCCAGAAGTCCTGTGGGACTTGTACGTCTGTATGTGAATGAGGGGCCTCCGGAGGTAGCTTAGCAGGTAGAAGAGACTGCTGCCGGCCCTGAATTCGATCCTGGGACACCCCCCACCCCATGGAAAGAGAGAACTGACTCCTGCAAGTTGTCCTCTGACTGCCCCAAATGCACCAAGGCACGGGCACAAAACACTAGTTTAGAAGCAGTGAGCTATCCCAGGATCTGCTAACGGATGAACCAAAACTGCCAGTACAGTGTGGAAAGTTCCACCAGCTCCACGTGGAAATTTTCTTAGTTCAAGACCTCTGTTAAGTCATAGCCCAGCTCCAGCATCTAATAGCTTTTTTTTTAATTTTTTTATATTAGTTACAGTTTATCTACTTTGTATCCCAGTTGTAGCCCCCTCCCTCATTCCCTCCCAATCCCACCCCTAATAGCTTTTCACTTAACACTGAGCACAGTGTTTTTTTACCACTCTCTGAAGTGAAGCCAACACCTCTCAGTCTGCCCTCTCTCCCACTCTGGTGGAGGCTGAACTTAGATCCTTGTGCTTATGCTAGACAGTGCACTGCCTCCCAGCTGTATCCTCCTCAGCCCTCTTTTGCCTTGCTGTTTTAAATTGGCCAAGTTGAACTCCCATGATAACTCAGGCAGTCATTGCACTTGTGAACTTCTGGGATCAGCTTCCCACCTGTTCTACCAGGCCTAGCAAGCTTTGTCTATAAAATATAGGTGATATAGAGCAGGATGTAAATGATGCATCCCTTTTAATCCCAACACTCAGCAGGAGGTGGGAGGAAGATCTCTGAGTTTAAAGCCAGCCTGGTCTACACAGAATTGCAGATGGTAGGCCCACAGGCCTTTAACCTCAGCATTAGGAGGCAGAGGGAGGAGGGTTTGAGTTGCAAACCAGGCGGGTCTACATAAAGGGTTCTTTACATGTTTGTGTTTTGCCGACAGAGTCCTCACCAAGTTCTCACTGTGAAGAAAAAAAAGTCCCTCATGCTCTAGCAAGCAGAAAGAAAAAGGAGCATTTTGAAATGCACTCAGCATCCTGTCTTTAAGGATCTGCCTAGGCTGCTTTTAGTGGTGCACACCTTTAGCCCCAGCACCCAGGTGCATAAGCAGGTGGATCTGTGTGAGTCTACATAGTTCCTGCACAGCCTGGGCTACATAATGAGAGCCTGTCTCAAAAATGAGGCTGAGCATGGTGGCACACACCACTGGGGAAGCAGAGGCAGGAAGATCTCTGTGAGTTGAAGGCTAGCCTGGGATACATAACAACAAAATCCAGGACTTGCAGAGGTGTAGTTCCCAATAAATAAATAAATAAATAAATAAATAAATAAATAATTTTTTATAATTTATGTTTTTCCTTTTTGAGATTTTTTCCTCTCATATAGTACATTGCTACTGCAATTTGCCCTCTCTCCAGTCCATTAAGGAAAAAAAAATCTAATTTAAAAAATAAGAGCCAGCCCATGCTTTTAATCCCAATACTGAGGAGGCAGAGGCAGCCAGATTGATGTGAGTTCAAGGCCAACCTGGTCTACAAATCAAGCCAGGACAGCCAGGGCTACACAGAGAAACCCTGTCTCAAAATAAGTGTGTGTGTGTGTGTGTGTGTGTGTGTGTGCTTGTGCATGCAGGCTTGCACATGCCACAGTGTAAGGCTAGAGGTCAGAGGACAACTTTAGGGTACTCTTTCTACCATGAGATCCAAAGATTGAACACAGGATCATCCAGCTTAGAGGCAAGCCCCTTTACCACTGAGCTATCTCGCTCTTAAAGGAAACTTTGTTTTGTTTTGTTGGTTTTGGGTTTTTTGTTGTTGTTGTTGTTTGGTTTTTGGGTTTTTTTTTTTTTTCTTTGATATAGGATTTTTCACTGTAACCCTGGCTATTTTGTAACTGGCTCTGTAGACCAAGCTGGCCTAGAACTCACAAAAATCCCCATCTCTGCCTTCCAAGTGCTGGGATTAAAGATATGCACCACTATGCCTGGAACCAGGGAACTTTTTAAATCAAAACTTGAGTTTTACCAAAGCCTAAACAAGTATGGAAAGCCCACTTTGGACCCCTCTAGCCTTCCTCTATTGTCTAAAGTGGCAAAAATATTAGACACTTTAAGGTCGCTGTCCAGTGATTACAAGGTCAACAGGAAACTGGGAAGTCCAGCTAAGGAGATGGTCAGTCAATATTGTTCTTGTGCATAAGGCTAAGGGCCTGAGTCCTGATCTCCAGCACCGATGCAGAACACTGGGCTCCACACCAGTAGTCCCAGAATTGGGAAGGCAGGGACAGTTATGATTCGCTGCCCAGATAGCTAAGTCGATGAACCTTCAGATTCAGTGAGAGACCCTGTCTCAATGGGGTTGGGGGAAGGGGCAGTGGGGATGGAGTAGGGGGGCAGATCTCTCAGAGTTCAAGGCCAACCTGGTCTACAAAGTGAGTTCCAGGACAGCCAGGGTTATATAGAGAAACTAATGTCAACCTCTGGCTTTCCCATGCATACGCACACAAACAAAATGGGCAGCAACCTAATAATAATTACAAAACAGTTCTCCCCTGCCGTCCAGTCTTACCGACAAACCATAATACTTCTGTGTAATAACAGGATTACAGCTGAGAAGAGTGAAAGCTTCCAACCATGTGTAAGGAGTGTCAGGACAGGCTTGTTGCTCTCACGCACAGCTCTTTGCAGAATAGTAAATAAACCTGAAGAAAGTGTGGAAAAACAAAGCTGGAAGGGGCGACCCAAATCACGGACCTCAGAAGAGACACCGGCGATGGACATCTCTGATGCCTCACCATAGAGAGAGAACCTGAGCCTTAAGTGGTCTGTTCAAGTTCGAAAACCAACAAGAGAAGAAAAAAAACTATAGCATCAGAAACAGGTATTCATGGTGGAATTTTGAGACTTCAAATTGAGAATTTAAAATAACTGATAAGTAGGCCAAGCATAGAGGCATACTTTTAATCCCAGCACTTGGGAGACAGAGGCAGGTGGATCTCTGTGAGTTCGAGGCCAGCATGGTCTACTAAGTGTATTCCAGGACAGCTGGGGCAACACAGATAAACCCCATCTCAAAACAAACAAAATTACAAAAATAAAGATGCTTTCATTGGGCTCATCAGTAGACTTGGCATGCCTAAGGAAAGAACCAGTTAGCTTGCAAATATATTCACAGAAATTCCCAAACTGAAGGGGAAAAAAATGAAAAAACAGAATATCCACACAGAATTAAACCAAATCCATGCTGTAATAACAAAATAATTAGGAAGTGACTCATTTTTAATACTATCTTTATTCTTAATATAACTTAAGAGTTTCTGAGTTTTGAAAACTTCATTCCATTTTTGGTTCTAGGTTGGAGCCCAAGGCCTTGTACATTGCTAGGAAAACATTCTCCCACTGAGTTATATTCTCAGATCTCAATAATTTAAATTTAATGATGACTTAGCCAGCTTGAAAAATTAATGAAAAAGAAATTTTGGTTTTTTGAGACTGGGCCTCAGTACATAGCCCTAGTTGTCCTGGAACTCACTATGTAAACCAGGCTGGCCTCTAACTCAGAAAGAGCCTTCTGCCTCTGCCTCGGGTGCTGGGATTAAAGGCATGGGCTACCATAAGGGGTCAAAATTAATGTAAAATTAACCCATCCTCACATCACCGATGAAACAATCACTGGAAGAATTCTATTGAGACTCAAGTTCTGTTTGTTAGCTGGACATGATGAGTCATGCCTCTAAGCACAGCAGACTGTGCTTAGAGGAGACTGAGGCAGAAGAATAAAGTGTTTGAAGCTAAGCCTGGCATAAAATTCATTCCTTTAATCCCAGTACTCGGGAGGCTGAGGCAGGTAGATCTCTGAGTTTGAGGCCAGCCTGGTCTAAAGAGTGAGTCCAGGACAGCCAGGGCTACACAGAGAAACCCTGTCTGGAATCCCCCACCCCCCCAAAAAAAAAAAACAAGGTAATAATACTTGATGCCTCAAGCTTCCTGGAATTATTTAGCCTCTCAATTCCAATTCCCTGGTGAACCCATAAATCTTGTGCCTCACTGGACAAAGGAAATGTCAGTCATGGTAATTCAGAGAATCACCATGGTTACTAGAACCTAGCACTCCAGTGTAAACATCCTGAAGAGGAGGTGCTGCATGGCTTTCTTCAGCTTATATCTACTAGGATATCAATATCCCTTTCAGTGTAAGAAAAGAACCACAACTGAAGAAACAAGTAAGGAGAATTTCACACAGTGGGTCAGAGGGCCATACCTTGCCTAGCTACATCTTAGCCACTTGCTATTGTCTCTTTTCCTAGCGGCCTTAGAGATGTATATTTCATTATCAGCTATTATCATAGTTAATTTTACTTAGCAGGGACCCTAGCCATTCATCTTCACTTCCTGTATTTGAGATACATTGTTTGAGCCAGGCAGTGGTGGGGCACACCTTTAACCCCAGCACTCAGGAGGCAGAGGCAGGTGAATCTCTGAGTTCAAGACCAGCCTGGTCTACAGCGTAGTTCCAGGACAACCAGGGCTACACAAAGAAACCCTGTCTCAAACAACAAAGATGCATAGTTTAAGCAAATAATCTAATTCATTTAGCCAGCATTAAGCAGCAACTAGCCATGTGCCTATGCTTTATGTTGGTGGCAGATGGTACAAAGATAGCTACAAGGCCTTTACTGTGCGGAGTAGCCAACTGAAGAGGAAGATAAAGTCCTACAGAATTTGTAATATAGTATATGATTAAGTATGGACTGCTAAACTCAAGGGAGTAAATGCCTGACACTGTAGGTTTGGAAAACAAATGGTGGGACTCTGTAGAGAGGACTTCAGACAGGCAACGTCTCCAGAGCCAGGCAGGAAATGACAACTGAAGAGCGCATCAGGCAAACAAGCCAGGAATTAGCTCTGGAAATTAAGTAAATTCCAAGACCTTAAACATTTAGGAAGCAGGCCTTGAAAACAAGGCCAAGGCCAAATAAGTGAGCATGCTGCTGACCTTAAGAAACATTTTAATTTCACTGGGAAATGCTGAAGAATCTGAGCATATATTTGATCTGTATTATATTCACAATGTCCAGCCATGCCTTATACGCTTAATATTTCTAGGCTGAATGAATGAATAAATGGTTTTGAATGACTACAAAATCTGAAGTCAGGGCCAGTTCATAGGAGATTACATTTGATTTGGGTCTTAATAATTGAAAGCATTGAAATGGAGGAAATATTCTAACAGAATGGAAATGCAGGTGAAGGAAATTATGAAATTTTAGGGTTGGGGAAGAGGTGAGGACTGACAGACGGCTCCACTGGGTACTCACCCAGTCTCCTCTTTCTAATTCCACCAAAGTTTCTGTTTCTCTATCCAGCTTCTGGGTCAGATGAAGAGTTCCCAGCAGACCCCAGGAACCCTTTCATAGTCTTCCAGCATCCCTGGCCCCAATACCGCACTGCACCAGGTTTCAGCATTATGTGATGAAACTAGTCTTGTTTTCAAATAAAAGAGTCTTCTCTGCCCTCTCGTAGAAAGCACATCCTTTAGAAAACCTACAAATTACCCTCATACCAGGCCAGTAGTAGCTTCTCCTGGCTACTTCAACCTACTTGCCCCTGTTCTATGGACTACCTCACCAGAAACAAAAATGCTCCTGGCCTGAGGTTTTCCTACCCAGTTCACATCTCACAAATTCTGCTGAGGGCTGGAAATGCAGCTCAGTGGTGAAGGAGTTACTAGAATGTGCAAAGCCCTATATTCCATCCCTAATGCCCACCCAAAAATAAAATAAATTACAAACAAAACTGGCGAACAAAGGCTTGGAGTCAACTCAGAGGCACAACATTCATTTCTCATTAATATTTTTGTGGCATAACCATAGATTTTACTTTGTAAAAACCAGAGTCCTTGTGCTGCCTAGTTTTATATCAACTTGACACAAACTAGAGTTTTCTAAAAGGAAAAAAATCTCAATTGAGAAAATGCCTTCATAAGATCCAGCTGTAAGGCATTTTCATAATTAGTGATAGATGGGCAAGAAGAGCCCAGCCCATTGTGGGTGGTACCATCCCTGGGCTGGAGAAATGGCTCAGTGGATAAGAGCACTTGGTTGTTCTTCCAAGAGACCTGGGTTCAATTCCCAGCACCCACATGGCAGCTCACAACTGTCTGTAACTCCAGATACAAGGGATTTGGCACCTTCACACAAACATACATGCAGACAAAACACCAATGTACACACACACACACACACACACCACATAAAATCAGGCTGAGTAAACCATGAGGAGCAAGCATGTAAGCAGCATCCCTCTGTAGTCCCTCTATGGCCTCTGCATCAGCTCCTGCCTCCATATTCCTGCTCTGAATTACTGCCCTGACTTCCTCCAATAATGAACTAGGATGTGGAAGTGTAAGCCAAATAAACCCTTTCCTCTCCAAGTTGCCTTGGTCATGGTGTTTCATCACAGCCATAGTCACCCTGACAAAGACAGTCCATGAGAGAGCACACAGAAGTGTCCTGCTAGCATCTGCTCACTCTGGTGTTGTAGCATCAGAGGCTGGAGCTTTGGCCAAATTGGTGACCTAGAAGGAACTCAAGGCTAAAGACTGGACTTCAAACGTATCACTCCAGCCCCCTGCTTTCTTGCCCCAGCTCCAATTTTATGCATTCCAGGGCCCCCCTTAAGGTATGGACAGCCTGGGGTGAGGAGGTGGCTAACTGTACTAAAATATCCGCTGCAAAAGCACATGGACCTGAGTTTGCACCCTCAGCATCTCTGTAATTAGATGAGGCAGAGCATGACTGTAAACCAACGCCGGGGCATACGGAGTCAGCCAGATCTGCAAGGCTCACCAGCCAGCCCTAACTGAAATGCTGGTGTCCAGGCTCATTGAGAGACAGGGTCTCAAAAAAATTCCAAGGTGGAGGGGCTGGAGAGATGGTTCAGTGGATGCCCTTCCAGAGGACCCAAGTTCAATTTCCAGCACCCACATGTCAGATCACAACCATCTGAAACTCCAGTTCCAGTGGATCCAACACCCTCTTAGTCTCTTCAGATGCCAGACACACAAAAGCTGAATAAACATATATGCAAGTACAGCATTAATACACATAAAGAATAAATTATATTTAAAAAATTAAGGTGGAGAACAATAAAAAAAGAAACCTAAAGCTGACCTCTGGCTTTCACACACACACACACACACACACACATACAAATACACAAATTGCACACCTATGCATATACCACATACAACAGACAGATGGACCTATGAAACCAGGTGTCGTGGCTCAAACCTGTAATCCCAGAACATAGAGTCTAGGCTGAGGGATTGCCATAAATTCATGGCCAGTCTGGGCTACAAAGTGAGGCTTGGCAAACAGACTGACCCTATCTCAAACAAACAAAAGATAAACAAATTATTCTTCATTTTTTTTAGTTTTTATTTTATGTGTATGAGTGTTTTATATTTATGGGTCTGTGTGCTCAGAGGTCAGAAAGCATCGCTGGATCCTCTAAAACAGGAGCTAGACAGTTGGCAGTTACCAGGTAGGTGCTAGGAAGTGAAGCCAGATCCTCTGCAAGAGCATCTAAGGAGCACTTAATAAGTGTTTTATGAGCATGAGTTATATGTATGAGCCTAGAATCACTTTCTACATACAGCTTCTCCAGATGTAGAATTCTAGGTTGGGAATTTTGAAGGGGTAACTTTACTGTACTCTAGTGTTTAGTTAGAAGCCTTTCTGAAACTTTGCTTTCTGTTCCCTAGTGTTCTGAAATACTGATGCACTGTAGTGCAGCTCTGTTTTCATGCCCTGGGACGGACACCCATGGTTCTCCCATCCTAAAAATCCATGCCCCTCCCGAGGAATTTTGTTTCTTCTTTATTAATTGTTTCCTCAGTCCTATCTTTTTCAAGTTCTCATTTATGAGCTATAAAACCTGCTGAGTTGATCATCCAGCTCATTAAATCTTTCTATATTTTTTATTATTACTCATTGTCAGGCTTTCTCAATATTGTCACTCAACTGTCAATGTCTATCACTGTGTAACAACTTAGCTAAAACATACAGACTTAAACCTACAAATACATCTTTCCACAGTTTCAGAGTCTGGATCCAGGGGCAGGATCTGGATCCAGGATCAGGGTGTCTTTTATGGCTGCAGGCAGGATATCAGGAACTGCAGTCATGTGCACCCAGAGTTGGGGCCAGGCAGCAGGAGCTATTTCTAAGATGTCTAGAGGACAAAGCCTCTCTAGCAATTAACAAGACAACTCAGTTTCTCTTCATATGGCCCTCTCCATAGGCTGCCTAAGTATTTCTACACAGCAGGTAACTTTCCTTCTATATGTGAGTGGGCAAGAAGGAGGGGAGGGAGTTGAGATAGATAGATGAGAGATATAGATAGATGATAGATAGATAGATAGATAGATAGATAGATAGATAGATAGATAGATAGAT